GTTCCATTTTAGTGCCTTTCCTTTGTCAAATGAGAGTTGGTGTTGGAATGTTTTCATCTCTAGTGCAGGGTTTTCAACCTGTGGGTCGCGACCCCTTTGGGGGTTGAATGACCCTTTCCCAGGGGTTGCCCGATTCATAACAGTAGCAAAATTACAGTGATGAAGCAGTAGCAATGAAAATAGTTGTACGGTTGGGGGGTCACCACAGTATGAGGAACTGTTAGAGGATCCAGGCATTAGGAAGGTTGAGAACCACTGTCTTAGACACTTGCTTTTCTCCTTTTTAAAGTCTGGCTCTAGGGGGAGCTTCACCCTGTTTTTGGTGTGTTTGCAGACACCACTAGGGTGGGCATCCTAAAACAGAATATAAGGCTGAATTTTGTTACCATTTCAGCTTTTTCATGGAAATGCTTTTTGACCATAGAGCATTTTAGTGGTCATGTTGATTTTTATTACAGTACACTGCTTCTAATGAGGGGGCTTCAAAAAGTTTGTGGAGCAATGGAAGTAAAGAAAAGATAATTCTTAACTGTAAAATTGGGCTTTCATTTTTATTATTAGTTTTGATATTTCATTTTTTTTCATTAGGAAGATGATAGGGTTTTGGAAGGAAAAGCAGAATGGTATTCTAGAAAACCTTTTTAAAAGTCATGTATTTTCCATTTATCAGGAAAGAGTGTTGAAGACAGTTTACACAAAGTGGAACTCTTTAGTCTTTGCTAGAGCATAACATATTAAGAATCTTTCAAGACCCGAACAAATAGATCTGAAATTCAAATTTGACTTTAGTAATGGAACTACATGATAGTTTACTTACCTCTTATCTGTTCTCTTTTCCCACAATTCTTTGAAGCCCCTTGGGTTAGCAAACATGCTGGACTCTGAAGAAAGCCATACCCAAGGAAAATGGCTCCCTTGTTTTTTTAATTAATTAATTAATTTATTTATTTTGAATTCCAGAATGAATAATTTGGTCAGAATTCTGATTAGAGAGGAAACTCAGTGGGTACTTGCTTCTGGTTCTTTTAGCTCTGATCTTAACTTATTTCCATTAGAATGTAACCTGTATAGTATGTTATTGGTGACATTTGAGATATGCTTTAGAGAACTGTCTTATAGTTAATCACTTGTAAAACCATGAATTTTTATATTCAAAGTGAATGCTAAGACCATTCTGTTAAATGGTTCCCTATTTGTTGTGGTTTCAGTGCAAGGTTTTATTTGCTGATAATGCTTTTAATGTAAAGTTTATCATGGGAAATGTGTGAAATGTGTCTAGATCCACCTTTTCTGGTGAACAGCTCGTGAAGTTCTCTGGGTGCATTTAGCTTCATTTTCTCACTGGAAGAAGAGTGAGCGTGCAGCAAGCATGTGACCATCCCTGTTGAAAGGAACCTCTCTTCATGTTGTTTGCTTTTTGCAGATTGGGAAAATGCGGTATGTCAGTGTTCGGGACTTCAAAGGGAAAGTCCTAATTGATATTAGAGAATATTGGATGGATCAAGAAGGTGAAATGAAACCAGGAAGAAAAGGTGAGATTTAATCTGCATTCGGTTATAATATCGACATTAACATTTTTCTGAGTCGTCTACCTTAACTGAACTACTGTTCCTGTGTAGGGCGAGGAAGATCTCATTCAGCTTATGCAAAAGGATAGATCGTTTTGTAGACAGTTTTGGACATGATACTTAAATATTTTTAATGAGATGTCTTAAGTATCTCTTTACTATCATTAATTAGCTATTTATCTGAATGCACATGAGTGAGATTTTGTGTGGGGTGTTTAAATTTATAGTAATTCTGAAATGGATTGCTATCTGTAAAATTATAAAATTATGAATGGAAGTTGTTGTTGGCAGTATTTCCTTTTGATCATCTCCTAAAAGCTGTTAATGAGGGTGGTCTTCTTCAAGGGGGTTTCTTCCTTCCATTTGTGCTTCATCCACTCAAATCTGTCACCGTTGTAGATAAGTACTTTGTTACTTTAGACGTTCACCAAATAACTAGAGAACATTTTGAAACTGTGTGTATTGGGTGGTTGACAGACCCTTGGTTAATGAACAGTTCCTCTGTGTGTGCGTGCTCGTTCACAGTTGCATGCTCGGCCTGCTCCTGAATTACTAATTTGGTCCTCAAGTTGTTCCAGAGGAGCCAGCACCAGATTGTGTGTTGTTTCTTCTAGTGCTGCCTGAGACAATTTGGTGAGATTTAATCTGCAGGTTCTGAGAAATTCGTGAATTCTTCCAAGTCCAACTTATTTCTTTATTTATTGGGTATTAGAAAGGAGTTGGGTATTAGAAAGCTGGAATGCAAAGTACAAATTATGGGACAGATAGATTTGACATCTTAAATATGCAAGACAGACTTCATTAACATTTATTTAGCTTGTTTACTTGTTTGTGAGATTTTCTGGTTTAACTATTCTTAGCCCTTTGAGAGAGGAGGACTGTTTTACTGGTGCGGAAGCAGATTGAGAAGGCGAGGGGTTTTTTCTATAGTTGTAAGTGTAGTAGTGACTGGCATTTGAGCCCTTGTGGCATGGTATCAGCGTGCACACTTTTAAGAATTTCTGTCTGGATCTCATCCTGGGGACGTTTATTTCCAAAGAGAAGGGAAAGCTTCTGGAAGAACTCAGCGTGACATCAGCTGAACTGGCTGCATGCTTTTGGCAAACACTGGTGCTGGATGGGCTCCTCCGGGCCACATCTGGGCCTCGCCACTTAGCCTGTAAGTGTAGGCATTAGTGGATTCCTTCTACGGTGTCATTGTTCTCTTTAGGTATAAGAAGTAAATGCAGGATGTGGTGTTGCAGATAAGATTTTCTATTAGCTTGTATCTACGACCTTTAATCTGCTCAAGAATATGTGATAGATCTGTAATGCATGTAAATGATTAGACACCCAAAGTGGCAATTTCCCTAAGGGAATGTTTTTGTTAGAAAAATAAAAATTCTCCAGAAAGCTTGAAGTGGGTTTTTCAACTTTGGATGTTCACCTTTGTTTTAGGTATTTCTTTAAACCCCGAGCAGTGGAGCCAGCTGAAGGAACAGATTTCTGACATTGATGACGCAGTAAGAAAACTGTAAGGTCCGAGCCATATCCAACCTGCACTGTTGTCGTCGTTTTAACCTGTCTTTTTACATGGGCTTTTGTTTCCTAACTGTTGTTTTCCAAGCTATTGTATATTTGGATTGCAAAACAATTTGTAAGATGAATGCTTTTTTTTTAGTGTGCATTATTAAAAATGTTCTGAGTGAAGCTAATTGTCAACTTTATTAAGGGGATTGCTTGTGCCCACCACCTAGTGTGAAATAAAGTCAAATGATACAATCTTAACTGTTGTGGCCTTTTTTGATCCAGAAGCCAAGGTATTATTTAAGGCCGAAAGTCACAGTTTGTAAACCCTGAATTTCAAGATTCTGTTGTATTAAACTTAGAAACTCTTGATTTGGAAAATCTGTCCCTCATCTGTTCTCTTCCAACCAAATGCCTAGACTTAACTTTTCTACCCCAATAATAATTTTATCCCCTCCTTCCTTTCCCGCTATTTTCTTTATGGATTGTTCATGTTCAGCTTTCATTCTTTGAATACATTATGCTAGTTTGTGGCTGTCAGTGAAACTGTCAGTGTTATTTCAGTAAGGTGCACTTGTAATTAAAATATGATAAATGGGAACTACAATCACTAACTATTAAATCTTAAGAGGTCAAGTTTGATAACCTAAATGGCTTGTATGAAAGCTCCGAGCAGGTGTTTGCCTGTCTCTGTAGTGCTCTGTGGAGCTGTTATCTTACCCTTGAGTCTGCAGAAGATCAGGCCATCGATGTCAGATTTTCTTTCACTGGTTAAACATGTTCACCCCATGGGATGATGTCTGTAACATGAGGGACTGTTGATTTAGTGTAGGAGCAATAAACGTTGTGAAAGCTTCCTGGCCCAACATTTTATTTTACCACGCTGAACGTGGATTATATCTAGCCAGAGATACCGTTGAACTTTACTGACAGTAGGTATCGGCCTAGGGTTTTTTTGGGGTGTGGGGGTGTAGGTGGAGTGTCAAGAGTATATATACTTGCAGATTTCAGCCTCTGGATCTGAGACTGGGTTATTTTTGTAGTTAATCTGGACAAGGGCTTTCTAGACTGGGTATGATAACTATTGGACACTTGTTTTCATTTAATCATATAATACCATGTTTTCCCGAAAATAAGACCTACTTACAGTTTTGCCTCTCGCTGAAATATAAGGCATCCCCCCGAAAATTAAGACCTC